GGACAGCTCAGTGGAGGGGTCTGGTGATGTCACAGTGGTAGTAAAAAACCCAATAGAAAATATTCGCCTGTAGGAGTGCAATGATAATTATTATTGCCATTTTGCCAATGCCTTGATGTCAACCAGTGGTGCATTCTTGCCTGGAGTTCTACGGTTCCACCATTTCTTCCTTTTTGTGCAGCGTCAGTGCTGGCAAACGCAGTTATTTTACACTCGATCATTATTACTTTTACAGGGTTCTCGCTTGTCCTTAGCACTTATAATGTGCCAATTGCTTCAACCAAATCACTGCCCTGTATTCACCCAGAAAGCCACAGGCCAGTTTCTTGAGTAGAGCTCATACAATGGGTAACACTTTTCGGTCTAGAGATGTAGTTACAGCCTCATCATCTGAACCATTAACCCTGCCCAACACCATGACTCTTTCATAGAGCCGAGCGTCAGACCTGGACAACTTTTATCAGCTGCTTTGAGCGATAGGGCCTTGTTCACCGCAGCTGTCATCTGCACGCTCCTCAGCAAGTCTGCGCTTCCAAAAACTCCATCTTGTCAGGCTCTGACCACCTGGTTTGTTTTCAGATTGAACAGCTGAGTCATAATATGTTTGTTTATTTCAACAACTGTATTCCTCGCATAGGAAATGAGCCAATATGTCTACGATGGGCAGAGTGAAATATGCCGTGTTTACAGTTGCTTTTTGTCATCTCACTCTCAAATTTTACAATATAATCAAACTCTGATTTTTATACTTCTGGCCCCTGTCAGTGACTTAATCTTCTTAAGTGTTCCCATTATTCCGGCTAGTTCGTTGTTGCATGTATTAATTTTAATCTTTTGATCTCCATATTAGCTACTGCCTGCGACTAATTTGTTGCACAGTGTTTTTCTTTGTTTTGACCTGCAAGGCATTTTTCTGATGGCACAGAACTCTCCTGGCAGATTGCATATAATCTCTGCACTTCCCCCTCCCTCCCTTTGCATAGTTCAACGAACGCAGATTTACAATTTGAGATGAAATCCAGCTCTCCTATGAAGGTGGTGGGGGATGAGGAGGGTGGGTGGAAATCACTGCATGTTTAGCTAAAGAAACTAAACAAGCTTGAATGAAGGCTGTACACTGAAATACACTGGGGTGAGGAGCTATATTCAATCTTTTATTTATTATTTAAACAGATCTAGAGCTCACCTTGCTAAACTAAGCACAATTATACTGATTTTAGATGCAGTCTTAGACATCAGCTAGTTTCTGCAGCACCCATTCTGAAACGCAAAGAAGGTTTATTTTTTGGGAAGGGTTAAAAGGGACTTTTCGAGGTGGGCAGCTTGACACTGGCTCAGTCCAGCATTCGGCCTCTGTCCAGCCACTTGACCAACAGTTGCTGAGTCACGGCGCGATCAGAAAGGCTCAGAGCTTTGCAGCCTTGAGCGGTGTCAATATCAGGAGGCAGAAAAGCAGCTGCAGTGAATGTGAAATAACTATCGCTGCCAAGGCTGTGTTTTACCTTGGGTCACATTTTGCTTGGTCATTACATGGACATTTTTTGCTTTGGTAGCTGATTCTTTAACCCTATGTTGGTTTATTAAAAAACCCAACCAAACAAAAACCAACCCAAAGTGGCTCACACTAGCCCAGAGATGTCATTTTTGCATTAAAAAAAAAGCAACATGACAACAACCTTTGCTTCATCCATGCATTTTTGTATTGCTTCGGGACACACATTTTTCTTTGACTAGGAAAGCTCTGCCTTTCTGCCTCACTGAGGACCAAAACAGCAATGTTTAAGACGCCTCTGGGCCAGGGCAGCTGCATTATAACAGCGAGGAAGGAAACGAAACGACTAGTTGCTGAAATGTAAAACAAATTGGCTGACTAGCTGCTGAGACTTGTCAGAGAAATGGTGGATGCCATTTCCAGTCTCCATGCCACGTGCATTAACTCTGCCAAACAAGGCTATTTTAGCTGGACGCCTTTCCATAAAGACGGGAGAGGCTTTGGCCCGGTCTGCACTTAAAAGTTTTTCTGGCATAGCGATGTTGGTCGAGGGGGGCGTGTGATGCTCGCCCGTCCCCTGCCCCCCTCCACCCCCGACACAGTTAGCTATGCTGGTAGAAGTGCTAGACGTGGGTATACTGGCAAAAAGAAGAGTCCCTTTGCTGGAATAGTTTGCTCTGGTTGGGGAACTGGGATAAGTTATACCGCCCAAAGAATGCCTGGTATAAGCAGCTTCTCCATGTGTGTGTGTGTTTGCTGGTATATCAAACCCTTTCAAGTGTGCACAGCCGCTAAGATTGACTGTAACAGGATCCCACCTGAGGCTGTGTGTGTTTGAGTCCGAGTCCCGGTGTAGTTTATGCCCAGGAGGGCTTTAAACCTGGCGTTGGGTGCAAATAAGTAGAAACAGGCCATTTTTGACATGGTGTGTCTGAGGGAGCCGCCCCAAATCAGCACTCCCAGTGTCTCTGCTCCTGGTTGTTTGTAATGAGCTCTGGGACGTTATCATCAACAAGTCACCCAGTTCATGCCCTTACCCCACCAACCAGGCTGTGGATAATTAAAGGGAACGAGGCGAATCAGATACACACAGCCACCTTTGCCCAACGCAGCTGCCACAGTGGCCTGGTTGGGGGTGGGATAGGCATGACCACAGCAGTTAGCCAGCTCTGAGCAGGAACAGCAGCTGGCACGTTGCTCAGTTCTTTTTTATGTGCCACTCTCCCCCCCCCCCCCGAGTAAATCACTGGTGGAGCAGAAACCAGGTTGGTTTCTCTACTGACATGGTAGGAAGGGGGTTAGCTGGGTCGGGTGGCAGGGCTGGGTTACGCTTTGGGTTGAAATGTTCTTTAGAGGCCGACCAAGCCCAAGTCTGGCTTTCTTAGCTGTTCTCAACAAGCTTAAGGGGCCGTGCCCTGGCCAGTGGAGGAAAAATCCCCGCCCTTGTTTGAACAAGGCCCACAGCAGCACCTCTGGTATATGGGAATTCAACCCTTCAGGTGCTTGGATTTCTCCGGGGTTTAAAAAAACCTGGTTCCACATCATTAAAAAAAGGAAAGAAACAATTAGAGATTTTTACCCTGTTTGCCTGAGGTTCCTTCGGCATCTGTAACCCACTCTAATGTATTGTGGCTCCCTGTCCACCTCCAGTGCCTGGCCCCTACCCACAGTGTTGTGCGTCGGCACGAGCCTTCGAGCTAAGGCCAGGCAGTCGGGGCTTTTAGAGCCAGACCTCCCAGAGTCAGTCCCTGCTACTGACCCATCGGGTGGCTCACGTTACACAAGGACAAGAGTTTTGCCAGTGTGGGCACTGGCTGGACCATTTCCGGTCTGCTTGTGCCAGATGCAATCTCACCTCCATAGGTGGGCGTCCTGCCTGAGCACCCTGCCTGGCAGAAGCCCACTTCAGCCAAGGAAGGACTATATGGGAGACGTGTGGTGAAGGCACCGGCCTGGGAGAGCTGTGTTCAGGTCTTGGCTCTGGGTGTGACCTTGGTCAAGACCTGTAGGGTGAGTTTCACACTGGGACATAGGCACTTCGCAACAACTTTTAGGTGCAACTGACAAAACACTGTTCAGCTGTTGCCTGCCCCTGTAGGAGGCTGAGTTCCCAGTGGTCAAAGTCCCCTAAACTGCCACTGAGTGGCTGCTCCATGGCCAAGCCCCAGCCCTGAGAGAGCATGCATCCCAATAGCCCAGTAGCCAGCGTGCTGAGCATGCATCCCAATAGCCCAGTGGCCAGCGTGCTGAGCATGCATCCCAATAGCCCAGTGATTTCTACCTGTAGCTCTGAGCTTGTCAAAACCCTGTGCCCCAACAGTGGATGGCAAGGCCCATTCAGTTCAGGTATAGCCTGCACATGGATTTTTACACCCACCTTTGCTTTAAGTATTCATAGAGGCTGAATGTCTGTTTTTAATGGCTGGGACCATGGGATTTCAGGGGTGATGCCGGCCAAGGAGCACTGAGAGGATGTCGCAGCAAGGTGTGTAGAGAAGAACTGCTTTTAAAAATAATGGAAGTGAGACAAGCTGGATGAGGTAATATCTCTTATTGAACCAGCCTCTGTTGGTGAGAGAGAGAGACAAGCTTTCATCTTCAGGTCAAGAGCTCTGTGAAGCTTGAAACCAGGTCTCTTCCACCAACCGACAGTCCAATAAAAGATGCTCCTCACTCCCCTTGTCTCTCTGATAGCCTGGGACCGACACAGCTAGAATAACATTGCCATAAGTGTTAGGCTTCATTCAGCCTTCTCCATCACAGCATTTTTAGTCTGATTAGACTGTGTGAGGGGTCGACGGGGAAACACTACTAAATTAGCCGGTAAAACTTTGAGTCTAACGAGCTTTTCATCAGGGCATCATGTTTTAATTTCAATTAAGAGGTTGATCACGCAACATGCACTTTTAATTCCTACCAGATGTTTTTAGCACTGTGAGGGAAGGTTAAAATACAACAGGAGGCCCTTGGTAAGTGTCAGGAAAGGCCAATTACTGTGTCACAATAGGAACAACTTGCAACCACTTCCAAGAACAAACCATCTGCCAGCCCCCGAACAATGGATCACACGGTGGTGTGTGCAGGTAAAAGCAGGACTAACTGCCAACGCGATGCTGGGAACTCCTAGGGTGAGAATCATAAAAGTGTTTAGGTCCCCAACTCCCATTGAAATCAATCGGAATTGGGCACCTAAATACCTTTGTGAATTTCCACCCTTGTTACGTGGGGAAGATAGAGTATGGTCCTGTCTGGAACGTGTCCTTATTAATGCCTTCCTCACCTTGATCTTTGTGAGTGAAGTAGAAAACAATCTACTTAAATCAATAAACTGGAGAAATACCCACATGGAACCCCCCCCCCCCAGCCCTTGTTTATTCTGGAAGGGGACGGGGGATGGGGGGGACTCTTACATCTTAGCTTGTCATTTTTTTCTGAGGCAGACATAAAAAGACTCCATAGTTTATTCTCAGGACATCTGAATAGTCATTTATTGAAAAGCCACAGTTCCCACACTTTTACAACTGTCGGCTTGTAAAAGGCCAAAGCAAAATGGATCCACTATTTTACACAGCTTCTGGAGGGGGAAATCGGGGACATGCAGTTACTGGTCAAAATGCAATGTACATGACATATATAAAAAAAACATTGTGAAACAAAGGAATTTAAGTTATGGTAACAGTCTACTGGAATAAATGTTCCTATATTATTATAAACACTTCTTTATAATCTAAGATTGTAAGTAAAGTGGCCTTTTTACATACACAGATACTTGAAACAAACAAGATGTAACATTTAGAGGGGCAAATGTTAACATAAAACAACTGCCTTGGACTGTACCATGGCATGAATGTAGCCATTATTCTAGGATTTACTGTTGTGGCAATCAGAATTACTAATCCATTGGTACATACCCTCTATGGAGTTAACTGTATCGTTAAGGAGAAGCGCATGGTTTATTAACTGGGATGCAGAATGATTCAAACAGCTGGATTTAAAAAAAAAAGAACAGAGAACAAAAAACTCATTTGTAACAGCCTCACTTTTCTTTTAAAAACAAAGCTGTTTTTATTAATTTTAAGCAGTTGGCATCCACAGAAGAGAAACAAAGAAATGAAAGTACTTGATTCACTCATCTTCACAACAATTTACCATCAATGTATATACAGTACATTAATGAAGCATTGTTTAAACTTTAATTATAACAGGGACACACCTAGCATGTATTCTATGTAGTTTTCCATTAACAGTATTAAACAATGGTGCTCCATATTGCTTATGAACATAGAGATATGAAATTAGGAAACCAATGAATCAAACAGAGGTGCTAATCTTATTACCACACAGCTAAATGGCAATTGTATTGGTAAACTTCTCATGGGTATTTAGAGCTGACAGAAAAATTCCTAATGTGGCTAACTGAACAATAGACTAGGTACATGCACTGGCAAAGAAGCCACCACCACGTGGGCCTCTAGACCAGAATTATCTAATCATCCTCTTCATCTTCTTCATCACTGTCCTTCATTGTGATTCCCTGAAGACCTCCGCCTTCACTAACTGACGCTGTGGCTTCTTCTACAGTCAGCCGGTTTCGCACGGTGTCATAGGTTTTGCTGTTTAGGGTGGAGTCCAGCACTCCTTGCAATCGGAAATCTCTATAGGTTTTCTAGGATGGAAGTGACGTGTTGGGAGGGAGAGACAAACAGCACAAAGTCAAGTTTAATTCCCCAACACAGATTACTCATGCTTCATTTCAAGAGTCATCAAAGAGTGGGCCTGGTCCTGCATCACCAGGCCATGAACGTCCACGGACGTACTCCACGGACATCACGGACACGAAGGGCATTTTACATGGCAGTGGCAATGCAGTGATGGGTGTAATTGTAACTTGTGCCCGCTTTATATTGCCAGAGAAATAGAAAATGGCCTTTGTGTAAATGAGACTCTGGCCACTTTTGGCCACTTCAACGGGAGTTTTGCCTGAGTAAGGACTTCAGGATCGGGCGCCCACTGTGTTAATGATGCACAAGCTGCAAAGTATATTGGGATGTATCCAGTTCCCCTTGGCAATGTATTGCTGCAATACATACCGTAGTTATTTCCCCTCATAAAATAAAAACTCCATATCACATAGAAACATGGTTACACGACATCAAAACGCTCTACTCCATTGAAATGAAAATATTTTAAATACTCCTATCTACAAAATTCAAATCTTGTTGACAAGTCCAGTCCTGCACATTAGAGACACTGAATATATATGTCAAACACAAACACACTGTGCATAAGTGTATCTGTTTATATCTTCCCCTCCTTCCACAGTTTGCAGCTATTGGTAAGTTATAAAAGTTTCCTGGGTAGTTAAGCGTTAAAATTAACCTCTTTGTATCTGAATTTAGGTTTAGAACCTTCTTGATTGATTTCTGTAAGATAAGACTCCAGCAGTAATACCATTAATTTAATAACAGACTATAAAACAGTAACTGGATTAAGTAGTTACTTGTGGATCAGAACATTCTCAAATTGGTTCTAGCAGCTACCCAAAGCAATATTGGCTTTAAAAGAACATAAACCCAGAAAAATAATTCCTCAGCTAATTAACAAATAGAGATTATTTGCTGGTGCGTATTGTTCCAATTTATGAAAAGTACATTTAGTACATTTCAGTTGTAATTTCGTTACTCTTTGATTTGTTCTTAGTGTACAGGAAAATACAAACATTTTAAAACACTAGGCCAAAAAGCATCAAATAGAACCTAAAATGATCAAAAAACGTATTTACCCCCTTCTGTGATCTTATTTCACGTAAACCACTGCGATTTCACACTGAAATAATTATCATTAGTCCAAGACACACACACATGCACAGAAAAAAAATGCTACTTTCAGGGTATGTTATCTCACCTTTGTGATCCCTTAGAGTTGATCGTATACACCCATTGTAAAAGAAACTACTTCAATTAACTATGAGAACAATCATGATTTGCATTCTGACAATAAGCACAAGACATATTTAAATATTTTTGGGAGTAAATATTTCCCTTCAACCAAGTCTTGGGATTTTTTTTAATTAAACCCCAAGTTAAAATGGATTAATTGGTGTGATCAACATGTTTGCACATAAAAAAGTCAATTTTTGGAATGTTTATTGTACTATTAGGGTTAAATGTAAATAATATATTTTCCCCCTTGCAGTGTAAATAACTACTTAATAATTGTGGGAAGTATTTTTCTAATCTATATCTGCCTCAAATTCCCTTTGATTAATTTTTGTACTTGCAGTATCCCCATATGCATCTAATATAAACTGTTCTAATTAATGATTTACTTGCTTGGCTACAGAATACATTTCCTCTAAGAAAACCTACCACACACAGTGCTTCCAATGCTAAGATGTTTGCAAAGTCACATAAAAATTATTACCTTTACCATCCTAATAAGAGTTTTCAGTTGGTAAATGTGAAGCTGCAGGTCCATGCGGTCTGTCAACCAGGTGCAAATGACATTCATTGAGCTGGTGTACCATTGCTGCAAGAGAGACAAGAATTCTCCAGCAAACACATCCCATGAGTATCATGAATAAACACAATCTGCGAACAGGCAGATACAACCAGGACTGACCTTTTCTATTTGCCAACCGGTGAAATGACTATGACAGGATTACTGGGGAATTTTTTTAAAAGCAGAATTTCAATGAATGAGCATTTCTTTTTCATAATCAGATTCTCCCCCTCCCACCCCAAAAAAGGGATTATTAAATAAAACATGCACCCCAGGACTACAGACTTTGAGCACAACTCATCCATCCACAGCCTTCTCAACAAGGAACATCTATGGATGGTAACAAACCGAGAGCAACAGCACTGCTGGCTTTTCCACAGTAGGGGTGGACAGTATCACCTTTGCCAATGATTGGATTTGCCAGCAAGACTGTGTTTTATCCCAATGCTTTTCTTACAGCTGCTCCACCACGACCCTGCCACTAACCACATCAAACCCAGAGATTTCTTTGCCACTTACCTGCTTTGAAATTTCAAACCCCATCAGCCGTAGGAGGCCTCTGATTCCCTAAGAGGAGCAGACTGCATGTACTAGGGGATTCTAATACAACCTGATCATATTAGTACACAGTAACTGCAGGGCGAGGATACACTGTCATAAGAGCATACAGCATTGGCTGCATTATCTGCTCCAGTCTCAACCCCAACAGTTGTAAAAGCAGATAGCTAATTTCAAGATGTTGAAACTATAGTTCCCCTCAAGGGGCTGAACTTTTGCTTCTCGTCTGTGAAAAATGCTCGCAGCTGTGTCACGGCAGACTGCCGCCCCTGCAGAGCAGGAAGGCTCTGGTGGGCTATGGGGTTAGAGGACTGCGCCTATATTCATCCATCTCAGAGACATATGAGCAACGCTCCCAAGTGGCCGGATAAAAAGGGGGAAAAATCAAATCTTAAAATGTCACCAGTTTTCATCCCACTTGGTATTATCCAAAGAACAACTGAAACTGAATTAAAACATTACTTGTGCAGAGATATATGCACACCCAACTTCTCTTTCTCACACTCAGTATGTGCACACATCACTCCTATACTATTACTTTTCACATGTGCCAATCCATGCACCAGAGACCAGTGGAAATTTAAACAAGTGCTAGTTAAAAATGCTTTTCATACTCTTCCCCTCCCCACTCCGACCCTCTCTAAGACAGTGCGTCTGTTAGACAGTCACATCTTTTGTCAATGTTACTTCAAACTTGGACTGACATTTTTATTTCTCTTGTAAAGCAGAAGGAGGCAGTTTAGTTCTTAGATTATGGCCCCATTAGTGAAACTGGCTTTTTTAGCCCTCTTTGGAGATCATCAGTTCATCAGACACTCACAAAAACAAACCTGCCCCCAAAAGGTTAATTGCAAAGGGAAAAAAATGAAAATTGACCAGGGACCAGGGCACTGATTCCCCCCTCTGTCCCACCAGCTTCACGCTAGTGATTCTCTGTTGATTTCAATGCAGTTACTCTGGTGTAAAACTAGTGTAAAAAAGAGCAGGGCCAGGCCCATGTTAGTATAACTTGCACATTTCAGCACTAACAAAATTCCTTCTTTAGTATGAATGGATCTGTCTGGGGTCGGGTTTTGCAGATCTGTACCTCAGCCAAACAGCAGGCAACCGAGACACGTCATAACCACACGGGGTGCTAGAGGCAAGAAGTGTGGAGTCTAACCAGGTACCTCATTCTGGCTGCCCACTCCAGACTTTGCTACCAGTAATGGGACTCCCTTCCCCCTTAGGCCTAGGGCAATGGAAACCTATGGCCTGTCCTATGAATTTTCCCTCTGCAGGGGGATGTCTCCTCATGGAAGAAACAGGGGACAGCGGGAAGTGAAACCCCCTCAACTAGTTTATCTCAGGGATATATGCACATGCTTCCCCCCCCTACCACCCAGCTATTGGTGCCTGGTGAAGATGGCTGCTGGACATACTGTGCGTTCCAAGGCTTCCCTGACCATAGCTGCCCCCGAATACGCCTTTAAATGGGTCTCTTGCACTACATTCCCCTGTGTTGATGGGGCGAGTTCCCTCATCTAGCTCCTCCTCACCTACTTATTGAGGTTATTTCCTGGGCACCCCTCACCATGGCATCTGGGTGTCCTCTCCTGCCTTGCAGGATCAGTACAGACCAGTCATTGATTTCCTAACTCAGGGAGCCACAGAATGTCCCCGGCTGCCAAATCGGCAATAGGATCTCTGAGGTAGCTGAGAAAGTGCTCAAGAGGTCCTGTAGTCAGACCATTCCCTATTCATTATACCCTGGCATGGCGTCCACTCCTTTCCCCGACTCGAGGGGAGGTTTTCTGTCCAAAGTCAATTGTAACCTTGCTCCAGCTCTGCCTCTGTAGGATGTTTCCATTCTCCCTGGGGCCTTTGGGCGCAGGGCATCTTTTCCACATTTATAATTTGGTTTCTGCATCCCAACTTAACTTGCATCCCCTGTAACCCTTCAGCCTAACCAGGGTTAAGTGTTTTGTAGGCATCACAGCAGAGGTGTGTTTTAAGACTGCTGTCAGGCTGACCCGTAATTAACATGCCAATTAGCAGCAATCCACAATGAGGGCTGCACAGAATTTAGTGAAGATGTACTTGAAAGAATGCAAAGGGCCTGTTTTTTGTTTTTAACTTTTTATAATTAAAACCTCTTTTTTCCTGGCTAGGCTCAGAGACACGGCTCAGCAGCACGCTCACAAAGTGACAGCCTCATCCAGCCAATTAAACCCAGAGAGAACCAGGTAGTTCAAATCCCGGTGTACTATGTTCATTCTACTGCACTTAATTACTGTCTAGTGAGCTGGGAAACATTAACCTCTGCGTGTTGGGAACCCTGACTAGAACATTCATTTGGCTGAGTAAATGAAAGGCTTCTGGTAGCCCCAAATTTACCCTCTTTAGCTAGTTTGAGGGGTCCTATGATCTCACTGAAGTAGCTAAGAGAGGAACCTCTCCCCACTTTCACTCTCTACCCGTACACACTCCCTCTACTGTCTAGCACGCCTCAACTCCAGGATCTCCTTGAACTACAGATTTAGCTGCTTTTCAGTGAGACATTTAGCCTCTTCTGTTTGAAAAAGCATGTAGCAAGCCAACCTGCTGCGTGTTAAATGTTTGTATTGACTGTTTTCTATGGAAGGAACTGGAGTTTTCCTGCACAGGTTTATTTAGTGCCTAGAAGCTGTGAGAGATTAGTAGTAAGGTTACTTGCCAGGGGCTGTCTATAGCTGGAATCCCTTCCCACATTCCTTGTATGTTCCCCTGTGCAGGCTGCCTCACAAAATACACCAGAAGCAGCACACGATTGGCACATTGTCAGATTCACCCCAGGGAGTCCGTTGGGACCCAGCAGACCAGGCTAAAGGTGGTGCGAGGGACCTGCCTTGCCTATGGCCCCAGGTTCATTTTAATTTGTTCCTTTACTATCGCTGGGAGAACAAATGGGTGAGCCCCAGCGTGGCTGGTTAGAGCTACGGACTGTAAAACACTGGGACTAGCCCTTCTGGGGAGTCTTTCGACTGATTTCAAAGGCCCTCTGTCAGCAGGTGTCCAACCCTCCTTTGCTTTAGAAAGGGATTTTCTTGATTAAAAGAATTGGACCCAAGTTTCCAGGTCAAGGTGCCAGGCTTCCTCGCAGAACGTGTGACTGACTATAGACTGAGAGCAAGGCCTGCTGGGAAGGGGAAGCAGGAAATAAGAGGCAGGTCCCTGCCTTTCAGTGGGGACTGAAACACAGAGGGAGCTGTAGTCTGCTGGTTGGGCTCCCCAGTGTGAAGAGGACTGTGGTCTCAGTGGGGTTTCCAGCTGAAAGGGGACGGGGAAACGAGCCAGCGGAGGGGCTGGGAAAGCAGGTGAACCAGGGTAGGGGGAAGGCTGGGGGAAAACCGAAGTGCAAAGCTGAGGATGGAGTGGACAGCGGCTTCACTGCCTGGGGCCCCAGGGCTGGAGCATGGGCCAGAGGCAGGGCCCACGTTTCCCAGAGCCTCCCTTTCACCATGTAGAGTGGGTGTGGATAAAGCCCGGCAATCACGGGGGTGACTGTGGGCATCTCTACCCTGGAGAAAGGGCAGTGGCCCAGGCAGGGCGAAGGACTTTATGGCTCCTGCCCTCCCCAGGGGAGACGTTTTAGTAGTGGTTCTCCCAGGTGAGTCTACTTCAAGCAGCATTATTTGCTGGTAGGGTAAGCGACTATCCCAGCGATCAGCTGGGAATGACGTCACAGGCAGGGTGCAGCTGTTCACAGCTCCATTTCCTCCCCAAATTCCATTGTATAGCCAGACAGAGGGGCGTCCGTGGGCGTCTACGGTACAGCAGACAAGTCCGGGGGGCAGCACTCTCTGCTCTACAAGCACAAGGCTCCCATCCCCTCCACCGATGGGCATGAGCTGTACACTTCCATGGGACAGAGCCGAAATCCAAGGCTGACAAAGAACTGCTCCAGAACACAGAGACCCTTTGCGCTTAGCTTTACAAACTTCCTGTTCACAAAGGGCGGGGATAAAGGAACAGAAGATCGGCCAGTGAAAAGACAGGGGAGTAATTTTTTCACTTGGTGTCTATACTGTACGCCACCTGGGGAGGAGATTACTGATAGTGGAGGGCGCTTTAAGCTAGCAGACAAAGAGCTACCAAGATCCAACAACTGGGAGCTGAAGCTAGACCAATTCTGACTGGAAATAAGACACACATTTTTTATAGGGAGGGTAATTAACCATTGGAGCAACTTAACTAGGGGTGTGGTGGAGTCTTTGTCAATTGGAGTCTACATCAGATTGGATGTCTTTTTCCAGACACTATGCTGTAGCTTAGTCAGAATTTATGGGCTTGATGGGGAATCCCTAGGGGCAATCCTCTGGCCTGGGCTATGCAGATCAGACTGGATAATCACAATGATGCCCCAGGCCTTAAAATCGATGGGTGAGCTTCTGAGTCTCTAAGAAGTGCAGCACAGGTCGCACAGCCCGAGGGAATGGAGACTACGGAGC